AAATGTACGTACGTGGTTGTGTTTAGATGTATACTATGTGTACGAATTCACATATATATCGATAATTGTGAGAAGAGTATATTTAATCATTCAAGCATTCGCATGCGCAGCAGATGAACCATAAACACAGAGGTAGATAATGTATATTCCACCACACACATATTTGCATCAAATAATACGCGTTTATATTCCGCGTATAATACGAACAATACGCATAACTTGAGAATCAAGATTCGTTAATGTAGAAAATGACGCGATATTGTTCTTGGTAGTAGCACGTGAGGTTTGCAATAGGAACATTTCGTGAAAAGTTAGAGACGCCCACCTGCCGGTCTGACTACGTTTTCACTTCGGTTTCTCACCGGTACCGCGCAGATGGCGGTGCCTCTTTGCAGTTCAACACAACAATTATCACAGCGCAATGTAGGTTCGGACGTTTCTAAGATCAAAAGTAGCAAAAACGGAACAACTAACTGAAGTCTCATACGCAGCTCAGAACAGCGTGTTCCTTGAAGCCCATCATTATGGACTTGCTCATATCTCCCAACAAAACTCACAAGAACATGCCGTCATGATAGTAAAGGTGTTTATTGTCTGTGCGGCTATGCGTGACTATTTTTTTCTCCTACAAATAGACCGAGTACAAAGGAAAATCGATTAGTCGATTTCTATGTAGGAATATGCTATATAAGTGTAGTAAACAACCTACTTGCACATACAAGTGGGGCAACCAAACTCGTCCATCACATTGCCCTGAGGACAGTAAATCGCACACACATAACCACAGTCAGCTGGAGGTGCAGTCAGCGAATCTGCTTGGTCCTGGTCTGCCATTTCATTTTCGGCTGATTCCTCTTCTGCGTATGGCGCAGAAAAGTTAGATTGAATCACATTCCATTCTACATTTTGTTCGGACGTATCATCGTTCACAGAAGTATCTAAATTTGGTACAGGGAAGTAAGTTTGTGGTATGTTCCACTTCGCTTCCTGTTCTGGCATTCCATTGATCTCAGTAGTGTCAATGTTTGGTGCAGGAAAGTAGGTCGGAGGTACGTTCCACTCCACATTTTGTTCCTGTTCCGGCGCCACATCCGGCGCGGCAACATTTGAGTGTGAGTCCGGAAAGCTGGTCTCAGGTACATTCCAGTCAACGATTTCCTCATTGATATTGTTCTTAGGTTGATTGATAGCAGAATCTTCGTCCTGCATACAGGGTCTCTGTTCCTTCTTCATCTGCCGGTCTGTTTTGGCCGCCTGTCCATCCTTCTTGGATACGTCGCTTTTTGGCGGACGCTGTTGCTGTGCTCGGTTGTTGTTTGCTTTGTGTATTCCCTCGCATATATTATTCGAATCCTCAGCAGCCAAGCACGTTGATACACATTGTTTCATTTCCGCTTTGGGCAAATCAGAACAGCTTGTGCAACTGTTGTTGATAAAATCATAGCAGGCCGCCTTCGCTTTCATCTTGACTACTCGTTCACCGCACACGCTGGAACTACCTTCCGTTTCCAAGCAATTTAAAACGCACTCCCGCCGACTTGTTTCCAGGCCTGCCTCCTTGCACCCTCCACAAGTAGTATGAATAAACTCACGACAGGACGCGCTAGGCGCGTGGGGCATCGTATTTGCAGTAGCGTTCCATGCCACGATGCTCACCAAGAATAAGAAAAAATTCTTTGAGGCAACCATTTTGATTTAAAATTAGATACAGTGTATACTCTGTGAAGTCAGCAACAAGAATGAACGTTATGATCGGAATCCGTATATTCTTATAATACACTATCATCGACCACAAAATAGTGTTCGTCAACTGTCAAGACTCAAGTTGTCGTCAAGTTGCTCTAAAAAGTGAAGTATGTATTAAAAAGTGAAGTATGTATGTATTACGTTTTTTATATAAATAAAAACCTTGTGAAGAATGTCGATGTGCGAAAATGTATCGTTTCGAGTGGATCATATGTTACAAACAAATTCCTTTTTTTTTATCCATGGTGTTCGAGCTTCGATCTTATGAAAAATATTTCACCGGGCTCTGGGCTCCAGGCTCCGAGCCTCCGCCCTCCGGCCAACGAAATATGTACTTTGTTTTAAAAACAACAACAAAAAAAAACAACAAAAAGTCAGTTTTGACTCCAGAGTATGTATGTATTTACTATATAGTGACTAGTGGGTACAATCAGTACATACGGAGTCCAGACTCCAGAGGTAGAATTAAATTAAAAAAAGATCTGCAGACTGCAGGAGCAGGGTCTTCAGTCTTCAGTCTTCAGGCTTCAGTCTCACCTGCCACTTCACTCTTCAAAGTTCAGAGGGAGCTATCAGCTATGTATGTATATTTAGCGACACTTAGGAGTTACGACGCTATGGTTGGATTCGCGAATTTAATCATAGGCTACTCTGAACAAATCCCCCGGGGCATTTTTTGTTTGTCATAATATTTATTGCAATAGAGATTAGACTTTAGAGGGTGAATTCAGAATTGGAACCTTGGAAGTCTATGGACATGCATACTACGTTCTTTGTAACAGAATTCGAGCAGCAATTCATGGTAGCATACAAGGAGTTAGGGGTCTGGAGCAGCAACCTATTCCATACCGGGTGTTATGGGCTATTCGCCTGACTACACCACTGCCTTAGTAGCAATGCGATGGGACAAGGGATGAAGTCAAATCTGTGCGAACTCTGTCGCCCTGGCCCCTGGGGGCTGGTACATATGAGGTCGCGACATGTCGTCTGAAAAAACCCATGTAAACGTCCGTCGCGACGTGTCGTCTGAAACATGTCGTATGTCGTTTAGATATACATACTGGACATGTTGTCATACATACAGTCGGAATTTTTTTTCTCGGAATTTTCATGTTCACCCATTGATAATCTATGAAAGGTCCCGTGATGAGTGGCGAAATTTTTAGATATTGATAATTCAGAGGGTCTAATTTCTTCAATCTTGAGTCGGCCATAAGACATGTCGCGACCCCAATGTCGCGACATGTCGCCTAAAGAAACAGGTAAACGACCGTCGCGACGTGTCGCTATGGGCAAAAGGCATGTCGTTTACCAGCTCAGCAGTGAGTGTCACCACAGTCAGTCAGTCACCACTTACCAGTCAGGCAGTCACCAACTCACCACTCAGTCACTCACCAGTAACCACTCAGTTGCTCACTCAAGAAGTGACCCTCTCTCTCTACATTGTCTATAGTCTACATACTCATAGACTCTCACGGTCTCAACTCTCACCGTGTCCACTGTCACCACTCACTGAATTGCCAGTCACCACTCACCAGTTACCAGTCACCAGTCACCAGTTACCAGTCACCAGTCACCAGTCACCAGTCACCAGTCACCAGTCACCAGTCACCAGTCACCAGTCACCAGTCACCAGTCACCAGTCACCAGTCACCAGTCACCAGTCACCAGTCACCAGTCACCAGTCACCAGTCAT